AAATATAAGAGAAGATGCTGATTGTTGGGGTTGGATTCATTAAAAAAAAAGATATTTTATAATCATAAAATTGTACCTGTTCCTCAAAGCTGGACAAAAATGATTAAAAAATTTATTAGAAGATATCGCATGGGTACACAAGCAGTAGAAGTTCAAAAGCAGTGAAACAGGCATTTAATAATAATACAGGGGGTTTTCTACAAAATGGCTCATGTATGAGTATTTTTATGAAAACACCCATCCATAAAAATGACAATTATGTAGATGTTACAGTCTTGATAATATCTTCAATTTTAGCATTGTGAGAGAAATTAAAAAATAAAAATAAAATTGCAAACCCTAATCTTTTCACTTTAACACTAAACCCTCTCTTCATAAAATCATTATAGAGGTAACATAAAAATTGCAAACCCCAATCTTTTAATTTTATTATAAATTTAATATTGTAATATAACTCTTTAAACTCTTCAAAGTTATTGCATAACATTGGAGAAATAATTCTGTGAGGACACTGGACTGTTCGAAGGCTAATCAGAATGTGTCACATCACCCGGTACACAGCTGCGGTACACAACAAACATATGACGTGTCGCATTCTGATTCTCCTCCGGACGGCATTCGTATCTGCACAGAATAATCTCACCTCACATTGAGGCTTTTGTTGAGACTGCTTCTTATTGCTTTCTAAAAAATTTCTAATACAAAAAAATTTTGTATTAGAAACTCGTAATAAAAAATAGTAACAAAGCCGTTCCAATCGGATGGCTAAAGTGTTAGATGAAAGCATGTGGGATTATGGGTAATAATGATTGAGGGAGTAAAAGGTTGAGAAAGGCCACACATGCTTTTTGAAAGAGGGATCATGTGTTTAATTTTTGAGATTATAGGGAAGTGGTCACATGACAAGACACATTATTGTATGCTTGAGCAAGACAAAAGATGGACTACATTGGCACATGTTATCATTTGCATTTCATAAAGATGCTATTAAAGTTTTAGATTCCTTGTGGTTTCTTTATTAGATTAATGATTGTCAAGATATAAATTATATAGATAATATTCATAATCAATATTTTATTAAGATTCTTAGAGTATAAATTAACATGTGTTTATTAATTTTGATGTTTTTTTTTTGAATTTTTATAAATATCATGTAACAAAATTCAAATTTAGTTTCATTCAATTACTAGTTAGCTAGGTCGGGTTCAAATCTAAATTTTATACTCAATTATTATTCTGGTTGTATTTGAGTTGACTGAATAAACCAAAATCAACTTAAAATTAACTCAATTACTATTCAAGTTTAAATTATGTGGGTTTAGGTCTTATTAATTAGGTTAAATGAGTCATGTTCAAGTTAACTGAGGCTTTGTTTGGGACGGCTTTCTTACTGTTTCTTAAAGCAACTTTATAGTATTAAAATTTTAATTTTGGAACTAGAAAGCCGCTTTAAGAAGTAGTAAAAAAGCTATCCCAAATGAAACCTGAGTTGTGTTGATCTAAAAAATTGCATCATGCATATAATAAACATGTTATATGGGCTGGGTTGTTCTTAGGTGTGTTCATGTTCAAATATTTTGACTCATAAAATAAATAGATCATGTTACAATCAAATATATTTGAGTCTCGAGTTAGGCTCGAACTCAGCCCATCAGCCCTAACGCCATTACTCATCTCCAAAGTTAACATTTGCATTTGATCTCCATAACAAAAAATAATTAAAAGCATTGAACTACATATACCTCTTAATCAAATTTATTTTAACATAATGCCATAGTGTCAATTCATTAGGGTTTATTGAGCTCAACTTAATTAGGCTACTGAATGACGATCAGCCCTATAATAAATGGCACTAAGTTGATAATTTATTTGATTTAAGGAGTTCATATAATTTGTCTATTATGAGTCATAGAGTTCGTTTGGGACATCTTTCTTAATGCTTTCTACAATAGAATTTTAGTTAAAATTTTTCTTGAATTAGAATTTTTCGTACTAAATAGCTATTTTAGAAAGAAATGAGAAAGCTGTCTCAAATGAATCCTTAATAATCTGCAACATGATTGTACAAGATCTTAATTTGAGTGGCTCCCATAATGGCACCATGCGATTAAGCGAGCTTTATGGTGCATGTCCTTCAAATGAGTAAGAAACTTTATTAAACGAGAGGATTAGTGGTTGGTGTAGAGAAATCTCATGCAAGAGGGAGATTTATGATGAGGCATGTGATCAAGAATATTGGATTCATTTAGTATGATATCAAATAGTTGGGAGTGGAATATTGGTATTAGAAGACTTATGTTGACTCTTAATTATATGCTTATACTATTATGTTGAAAAATAAAAATTCAAAACTATGGTGAAAAAGTACTGTTAAAAAAATGTTGATTTTGGTTTGGAAGGTCTATGATTGAGTTGCTATTTGTACCAAAAAAAGCTATTTTTAAAGCGCCCACATGTAAAGTCCAGCACCATAATTGGATAAGCATTATGATATAAAATATCCATAGTGCAACAATATGCTAAACAAATATTATAAAAGTTTTTCAAAATAACAATCAAATTCTTATGAGAGTGATGTGTAACTAGAAAATCTATTTAATTGAACACAAATTTTGATATAAATATATGAATTAAAATCAGAATCATCTCAATCTGACTTTAATGAAGGTGTAATCAACATGAATGTTTTATTGAGACAAGCCCGATAACTTCAAAAATATTTTTATCCTAGTCCTAATGAGCTCAAATTAAGCACTTGAAGCATAGTTAAAAATATTTCCAAGTTGAACCATCTTACCTAGTAGCTGATCATGATGGAGCTGAGTCCCTTCCTTTCTTGCTGGTGCTAGCTATAAAATCCTCTACAAAATCTAAAGGATTTCATTATGAGACTTCTCCATTTTATTGTCTTTCAGGGAGGGACTTGATGTATCATCACCAGTAGAGTTATACCAATTGGGGTAGAAATAGGCAAAGGCTTGCTGTCCCTATCAAGGATTAATTCCTGAAATGAAGACCGTCAAAGTGGGAGGCTCTGCTATTCCGATTATTACACTTGTTTGCCATTGAATAGATGCTCTTAAGGCTTATAACAATGGAATTATCTATCACAAGTAGCATTTAACTATTGCGCAATGAAAAATTTGTGGCATTTAATTGAGAGAATCTTGCATTCTAGCTTAGATGAGGATCCCACACATAAACACATAAATGAAAAGAGCACAAGAGACAACATCATTTTTATATGAAAATCTAGAAAGGAGAAAACTAAGGGGCTTGTCTCTACTAAAATAACTCCACAATGTGAATATTAATTACAAACATTTGCTCGTACTCTAATTTGTAGAATGTGAGATTACAAGAATATGACGGGCTAACAAAAATATTAAAGAAATGGTATAGGATGAGAGGGATTTGGAAATGGAGCTCATTTATTGTGTCCTTGAAACACTTTTAAAAAAACATTTTTAAGAATTTTTTTTACCCATAAAAGCTAAAATAATTCCAAAACTAAATTTTGGGACTTGTATGTCACATTTCAACACGATAAGACATGTTATGGTTGGGTTGGGTTGTGATAAGCCGAGGGTGTTGGTTGAGTGGCGATGATGTAGCCATCATCGTGGTTATACAATGGTGGTCGGGTGGCTACAATAGGGTGGAGAGATAGTTCAATGACTGTGATCAGATGATGACAATCCATAATGGTGGTAGTGTGGCAGTTGTCTATTGATGGTGTCCGATAACTATGGTCGTGCAACAACAATTCGATGGCTTGGTTGGGCAATAGAGGCTTGATGATTACAACCATATAATAGTTGCCAACGGTGGCTATGACATGTGGTGGTTTGGCAATAGCGATGGTTTAATGATTGTGATCGAGGGCGGTGGTATGATGGTTGTGATCCAATGAAAGCGGTGGTTTGATGATGGCATTGGTCCAACGGTTGTGGTTTGACAATGATGATTCAATGATAAAGGTAGTCTAATGATAATAGTTAGGTGGTGGCAATCTCATGATGGCGGTTAAATGAAAGTGTTCAGAAGATGGTAAGTAAACTCGATCATGGTCTATCAATAACAATTAATCAACACAATTTAACAGAGGTGATTTGGGTGAAGGCTCTAGAATTCTTCAAGTTTTTAAATTGTCTTGAACTCAAGCTAGTAATCTTCTTATAGAGAGTGGTTCATATATTTTTGAAAGTGCATACCTCATAAATATAGAGAAATTTAGAATACTCCAACTTTAAATAATATTTAATTTATTTTTTTTCCTTAATGTATATAACTAATGATTAACAAATTTAAAATGTATGAATACAAAATTAACATTGAAAGATTTTTAATTATTTCTTCCTAAAAATCACACATAAAAAATTTAACTTAATTCTTTCAAACATAACTATTGAGGCGGTTTTATTACTTCTTCTTAAGAGGCGGTTTATTACTTCTTCTTAAAACAATTAAAACACAATCCCAAATGAAGCCAAAGTCTACCTTTAGTGTAAATCCGACTCGACTCGACTCGAGACCAATGTTAACTAACAAGCCAACTCACAGTTCAATTAGACTAACCTAAACTTAAATTATTTTAAATATAGCTAGTTCCAAATCAAATTAAGCCTAAATAACAATTAATAAGAAAAAAATCTTGATTGATTCAAGATCTAATCGATTTAATGTATAATCTTAATTTATTTGACTAAGATAAAATTAAATAGTTTAAAGCTAACCTACACTCGAATGAATCGGCTCGTGGTTATAATTTTTTAAAATGTAATAATAAGTAAAATATTATATAATAATTAATCTTTTCTTTTTATTATCTAAGGACAATTCCGTCATTTATAGTCGAAGGCCCGCTATGCGCAGTGTTTTCTTACTTTCTATGCGCTTTTCTGCCAGTGGACATAGCATTAACGGAGGGTTATATTTGGAATTTCAGATTTATGTGGGGCACATCCGCGCTTCCTTATAATGGTATTGACAATAGAAGCTTTCGATATCCAATCGACGGTTAACGGCGCTGCTCAACGTCAATGACAGGATAGGCAGAGGGAAGAGAAGTGCAGCGAAGAGTGTAACGAATCCGGCGGAGAAAGGACAAAATTCCGACGACTATCGCGGGAAAAAAATGATGCCGGGAATCGGCGTTGTTCGGGGAGTTCCGAACCATAGAAATCTTGAGGAGCAGATCGAACGGCAGATGGGATGCATGACTGGATTCATACAGCTTTTCGATCGCCAACAGATTCTTACCGGGAAGCGTTTTTACTCTGCTAAGCGGCTTCCCAGTTCTTTGGTGAGCTTTTATTTGCTTGTTGAGGGATTATGGTTGATGTTTTAAGTTGTTATGTGTGTGTTTTTAAGTAACGGATCATGCATTCTTGAATGATAGCATGTCGCTGGATCGGCTTCGCCGTCAGAGAAATCTGAGATTTCGACGTTCTCCGTGTTTAAAGAAGTGCCAGAGTACCTGTTTTCTCCGTCGCCGGATGGATCTACTTCGTCACTGGAGAATGATCTTCCAACGAACTTTCCTGCAAGGCACACTCTCCCGCTTCCTGTTTTCGAGGGGAAGGATGGGGTAAAATCCTCATGGAAGCTGCGAGAAGCTCCCAGACTCTCCCTCGACAGTCGTGCAAACGTTGATGCCAAGGGCAAGTTGCGCCCCCGTGAGATCCAGACCACACCGATGGCCTTCACTTCGAATCTATCTGAGGCCTCAGAGGGTGGGGATAATCAGGAGAAGCAGCGGCGTTCCCCGAGCGTGGTTGCGCGTTTAATGGGTCTCGAGGAACTCCCGATCGAAGAAGCGCCTAAGAGACCAGAGCTCCGCCGATCGGCTTCAGAGTCTCGTGCTTACCGAGATCTGTCTCCGTTCGACTCCCAGAATCCATTTCCGATATCCTCTGAAGAGGGTTTCAGGCTTCAGAAGCAGGACTACCAATCAATGAAGTCTCCAGATACTAAACCCGAACCTCCCCGTCTGACACCTAGCTTGTTTCAAAGAAGGAGCTTCGAAGCCCAGGAGTTCTTCCCTGAGCCGAAGCGGCTCGGCTCACTCTACGGCGAACTCGAAAAGCGTCTCCGGATGCGAGGAATCCAAGAGCCTGCCAGGGATCTAGAGACTCTGAAGCAGATCCTCGAAGCTCTCCAGCTCAAGGGTCTTCTCCACTCCAAGCAGACAGAGCACCACGAAGCCGCCCATCTCAACAACTTTCATGATCGTCGCCCTCACTCCGCTGCCATTCAGCCTCCGATCGTCGTCATGAAGCCGGTACCCAAAACACCTACGCGCCTAGCTGGTAGCGAGCTTCCAACCTTACCTTCCAGATCCATTCCTCCCCGCCGACTACCGATGCAGGAACCCATACCTCCTGCTAGGGTCCGGCGAGACCGGCTTGAACTCGATCGTAATTTCCTTAGCGCTGGTCGGCAGAGCCCTACAATGCCGGAGCCAAGCTTGCCGCCGCGGACCCCTAGCGACCCACCGAAGCGGCGAAGACCTCTCAAAGACGAAGGAAAAAGCTCTCCCCTGCCTCAGCGGCGGGTTCCGCCCGCCCAATCCCCGAAATCGAGCCCGAAAAGACTCGGATCGGGTCAATCCGGCCCACCAAAAACCCGGAGGCAGACAGCCCACATTCCTCCCAAGGACGTCTACTCAACCGCGGAGGACGATACCTCCACCGTCTCAGATATGAGCACAACCTCCCAATTCGAATTCGAAGTAAAATTTCCTCTCATTTTTCAGTTTTTATCCTATACCATTCAATCCATTAGGAACTCGTCTCATGCTGTGTGTTATTCTCGCGTGCAGCGTGCGATAAACGAGGATTACAGATCGGGACGTAGCTTATTAGAAAGATGTGACAAACTGCTTCACAGTATAGCGGCAATTACATCCTCCGCGGAGCAGGTTATCCCGACGGACCGGCAGCTCAGCCCTGTGTCTGTCCTTGACTCATCTATCCACTCCGACGAGAGTTCAACTTCTTCTCTCCCAAAGCGCGCCATTGGCTTTAATGGTATTCCTCGTGACTCGCGTTGCCTTTCCCCGCCCGCTCTACCACAGCTGGCGTTGCTCCAGTCATTGCTTGCAATTACTCTTTTCAATTGTCGGTGCAAATTTTATGTTAAAGTATTAAAAAAATATTTGGATAATTTTTTTTTTTAGTTTTAAGATTACAATCATAATTTTTATTTAATGATTTATTTTTTTTACTATTTTTTAAAAAATTATGCTAGAAAACTTAATAACAGCTTATAGAAAAGTGTAATCATCTCAAATGAAAGAGATTATTACGGTTGGAGTCCAAAAGTCATTCGGATTCAGATTTAGCTGGGCTCTGCACTGAATAATTTTTTTCATCGATGAACTCTAAGGGCATCTCTAATCGAAAATCTCATTTTTCACTCCAAAATGCAGTGAAACCAAAAATTGTCGTGATTCATCTCCAATCGAACGTCATTTTGCCCCCTAATTGTCGCTCTCTTCTTTCGCGCTTTTCTTCCGCAAGTTCGGTAGAGACCAAAAAAGGGCGCAGATGAACAGTACGACGAATATTGACGTCGCACTGTTCATCCTCGATCAAATGGCGGAGAAAAAGGCGTTTGGTTGCGACGTTTGAGGGCCTCCATTCGATTGTTTGCGGAACAATTGGAGATAGTCCAATGCTTCAATTGGGACATTAATTTTTTGAGTTATTAATTTTTGTATTAGGAAGCTTCTTTAAAAGCAGTAAGAAATTTAGTAAGAAAATTATTTCAAATTAAGGCTTCGTTTGGGACGTTTTTTTTGTTGCTTCCTAAAGCAGATTTCTAGTAAAAATTTTTAATTATTGAACTAAAAAGTTATTTTAAGAAGCAGCAAGAAAGCCGCTCCTAACGAAGCCTAAATCTAAATTTAGCAGCTCATTGAATGAGTAGAATGAGAATTTGAAAATAGGCTTGAAATATTCGGGTTATGAAAGATAATGATGTGCTTAATATTTAAATTGTATTTAGAAGTTTATCTGAATGAATTGTATTATAATTGGTTTTTTTTTTCCGTTGAACTTATTTGATTTATTGTGCTCATTGACTTTTGCTCCTCATGTCTAATTTCTTAATAGTGGGCAAATATTTGTTGAAGAATTTATTTATATTAAAATCGATTCTATTATTTTATAGCTTTACCAATTCCGTGAAGCAGTAGGGAGAAAATTTTTTTATTTTATTTTTTTGGAATTTCTCACACCAAAGACCAAATATATTTATCATAAAATATTATTATAGATTATAAAATATAAGTTTGTTAAATTTTATAACTTTCCCATTGCCCCATTAGTGATAAGGGGCACATAAATTAAATTACTTTTTATCGAAAATAAATAAATAAAGTATATTCAAAATAATAATTTTAAGTGTCTTTGCACTATAAATTTTTATAAAAATTTAATTTATTGTACATAAAAACATTTAAATTTTAATATTTGTGTATAATAATTAAAAATTTTAATTGTTTAAAAATATATTATTATTACTTTATTTAAAATTACTATATATTTTTCATTTTTAGTATAATTTTTTTTTTGGGAAAAGTTTCTTAATTTATATAACAATCCTCGATATTCTCACTTGTCAGATAAAATAACCGAATGGCATGGGGAGCATGCGGAGTACATGGGGAGCACTGGGACCATCAGCCGAAATCAGCCGCTGGATCTAACTATTTTTCTGGGTCCCCCGACCCTGAACCGACTTTGGATCACCATCATCATCAGCCTGATGACTATGCCTTCGTTCTCGACGTTCTCCACGAATCCGACCTCCACCGTAGCGGCGGCGACGACGACGCATTCGCCGCCATTGAAAACCGCCACCGCACCGCCACCTCGTCGACGCTCCACCGCCGTCTTATCTTTGACACAGTAACGGAGCTCGTCAACCGGAAGCGCCATTTCTCCCCATGGGATAACTTTTCCGGCGCCGTTGCCGCCACCAACGCGACCTCGCTTATCCGAGAGGTGTGGGAGGAGATATGCCAAATGCAGGAGCGGATTCCGGCGGCGGACGTCATGGAGGCGACCTGCAGCGTGATAAAGAAGGACATGGCGGCCAGTTCGGATAGGGAGCGAGGCTGGGGTGTGTCGGCGGAGGAGATGTCGGAGGCGGTGCTGCACATCGAACGGCAGGTGTTCAAGGACCTTGTGGCTGATACAATCCGGGAGCTGGCTGATCTCACGGGCAGGTGCCGGCGAACCGTTGCTATCTCGCGACGGAAGCTGGTCTTTTGAAGACTGATGCCATGGCGGCCAGACAAGGCTGCTTGGAACTATTATTACAAGTTGCAAGGCGACGGGAAAGAAAAATAATCTGCGTTCTTCCATACATGGCTGGCTGATGCGACAGTTCACCTATGTCTGAGAAGCCGGGATGATTCGTTTGACTTTTTCTCGGAATCGTTATCTAAGAGCTGTAAGGGCTGGTGGCCAAGTTAGTCAAAATTCAATAACCTGCAAGAAATTTTTTTTTAATCATTTTGAGTTGTTTGCTGAGAGACTAATTTAAGCTAAAAAAACTTTAATTAATTTTAAGCTGAATAGTTTGTGCTAAGATTGGTTTGCCTAGCAGTATTCAGGATTGTTTTATTAGTTAGTTTAGCAGTCTTAGTTTATGGTATTCTTTATGTAGCAAAATAAAAAAATAAAAATAAAAAAATAGAATGATACAAGCGATTGAAATGACAGATTAGCTCATACGTGTATTGTGAGCTAACTAAATTCACCTAACAATTTTCTTTGAAAAGAGGACATTAACAGGTCCACCAACGGTCGACAGCAAGCTGCCATGTGTGGATGCAGTTGTGGAAGAGAACCATGGCCTTATCTACTGCTCCTCGGAAGGATGAATTATTCTGGAGAGACACCGGACGGGAGAACCCGCCAGGTGTTCTCTCTGCCTATAGTAAAGCGCAATGAGTGTTCTAGCAGCTATGTTTTTACTTTAGACAGAGAAAAAAATCGGACGGTTCTTTTTGTCTAGTCTCCGCACAGAATAATTCCTCCCTCGTAAGCGTTTGCCTTGTTGGCAATAAGGATTGGTCTGCAGTAGGCGCCAGGCGTGCTTGCAAGTAGGCTGCCGATGTATTTACTGGCAACCAAGGGTGTAAACCAGTTGAGCGGAGCTGAAGTCACTCGGTTTTTGAACTTAAGCTTATTAATTAATCAAGCTTATGTCCGTGCTAGAATTTTATTTTGTAAGTTTTAGCTAGCTCATTTATTATGAAAGAGAAAAAATAATTATGATTCAAATAATTTTTATAATAAAATGAAAAAAGAATAATATATTGAAGGAAAATAATAATAATAATGCTAAATATAAGAAAGTAAAAAAGTAACTTATTACTTAAATTCTTGAATGATATTATATTTTAATTATATTTTATATTAATATTTATAAAAGAGCAGGCTTGCGAGCTAATGAGTCATGTAAGGGCTGGCTCAAGTTTGGTTCATTAGAGATAGCTTAGTAATTCTCTTACCCATTTTCACCTAAATATGATTAAAATTTTACATGAGTAATTTACATGAGTAAATATGAGAAATAGAATTTAATAGAATTATATTATTAATTGATAGACTTAAGTTCCGTTTGAGACTACTTTTTTATAGCTTTTATAGCAATTTTTTAGTTCAACAAAATTTTCAACTAAAAAATTACTTTAGAAAGCGTTAAAAAAGTCTTCCCAAACGAAATTTTAATCCATCATGTATGAATGTTATCCATGATACATGAAAATACTTTCAAAATTTTTAAGAACACATAATGTTATGCAGGACAAAAACAAAATGTATAAGTAAAAATTATTATAATGTAACATAATTGATAATCCTCTAATAATTTATTGATTGAATGTAATATATGAAATATCAAATAAAATGATTGCATAATATCATGAAATTATTTATTAGAAATTTTATAATTGCTAACACTCTTCAACTTTCATGTGTTCTTTCATCCATCATCTTTAGATCATATCACACCTTATTGATGTAGGCACCTACAAGTAGATTAGCAAAGACAACAAAATGGATAGAACAGTACCTTGTTCTAAGGAGAAGGTAAATTTTAGTTTTAAAAACTAGAACTGCATCTTTCTAAGCCTTGACGAAAGATAAGCAAGGGCAATTCAGCCTCATAACTGAAAAAGGCTAAAAGCAAAAAGGTCCTGACAAACTACTCATAAGCTAACTAACTAAAAGCAGTAAAATGCTAGTGGGTGCGTTTCCACTAATAGAACGACCCAGCACTGGAGATCGGTCCCAGCAGGACTAGCTGTTCTGCAGTCCAGCCACCTTAAGATGCTCCGCATCATTCCCCCCTAGTGCGAAAATGTCTTGGCCTGCAGTGACGGTATCTTCGTCCGCGTCCTCTGGGGAATGGTAAGGGAATATGTCTGCTACATTGAAAGTGCGCGAAGTGTTGAATTCAATAGGTAGATCAATAACGTAAGCATTATTGTTAATCTTGTGGACTACAGCAAACGGACCGAATTTCTTGCGGCCTAGTTTTGAGTATGATCCGCTCGGGAGGCGCTCCCGTCGAAGACGCACAAGGACCAAGTCACCTGCGTTGTAAATCTTCTCCCGATGGTGAATATCTGCCTGTTCTTTGTATTTACTGTTGGACTGCTGCAGTTGTAATCTCACCTTGAATAGCATATCCGTGAATTGCTCCGCCAGATTTGAAGCGGCTTGTTGTGGCATTTCGGTAGGACTGCAATATCAACAACGGTGTTTGGTAATTTAGTATAAATAATGCTAAATGGACACCTACCTGTCAACCGGTTTGGCATTGAGTTGAAAGCAAATTCAGCTTGCCCCAATACTTCATCCCACAGCCTAGGATTCTCCTGCACCAAGCAACGTAGCAAGTTACCCAATGTGCGATTTACCACTTCTGTTTGCCCGTCCGTTTGAGGGTGGTAGGACGAACTGAGCTGAATCTGCATGTTTAATCTCTTCCAGAGTTCCTGCCAAAAGTGGCTTATGAACTTTACATCACGATCTGATGTTAAGGAGCAAGGTATGCCGTGTAATCTTATGATCTCACGGAAGAAGAGCTTTGCTACAATCAAGGCATCAAATGTCTTTTTACATGCTATAAAATGCGCCATTTTAGAGAATCGATCTACTACAACCATGATCGAATCATTACCGCGGCGGGTACGAGGTAAACCGAACACAAAGTCTAAGCTCAAGTCTTCCCAAATGGTTTCAGGAACTGGTAAGGGTGAATAAAGCCCCGTGTTCTGACCTCCACCTTTATAATTTTGGCAAATGGAACATCTCTACACAAAGCGTGTCACATCTCTTCTTAAATGGGGCCAAAAGAATCTCAATTGCAATTGAGAAATAGTTTTGTCTCTGCCAATATGTGCGGTCAAACTACCCCCATGCAATTCCTTTATGATTTACTATCTCCACGATCGATGATTTAGGAATGCAGAGTAAATTTCCCTTAAAAAGGTAGCCATGCCTGATGGAGAACTCATCACTCGGTTCCTTGTTGATGCACTTAAGCCACACCTCGATGAAATCAACATCATCATGGTACATTTCCTGTAAACATTCGAGGCCCAAAAACTCCGTCTGTAGCTGAGTGATCAACGTCGCCCGGCGGCTCAATGCGTCGGCGACACGGTTCTGCTTGCCGCTTTTATGCTTTAATACAAAAGTAAATTTCTGCAAAAATAAAACCCATCTGGCATGCATCCTGCTGATGTTTTTTTTGCGTATTGATGTACTGTAAAGCCTTGTGGTCACTATGTAAAACAAAATCTTGCTGAAGTAAGTAGTGATCCCATTGTTTTAATGCTCTGATGACTGCATATAGCTCATGTTCGTATACCGTCCCTCGCTTTCTTGGGGCGCTTAATTTCTCGTTGAAAAATTCGATTGGCTTATCTTCTTGAGAGAGCACGGCGCCGACTCCAATGGACGAAGCATCAGTTTCTATAGTAAATGGTTTCTCGAAGTTAGGCAGAGCGAGAACTGGTGCTTTTGTTAAAGCTTCCTTTATAACATTAAAACTTCTGTCATGCTCTTGTTCCCACATGAACTTCTTTTGTTTCAACAGGTCAGTTAACAGTGCCATTAAAATGTTAAATCCCTTAATAAATCTTCTATAGAAGTTTGCCAAACCATGGAAACTTCTGATTTCAGTGATTGTAGTCGGGATCGGCCAGTCTTGAATAGCTTGAATTTTTCGGGGGACAGCACTAACGCCCTCAACAGAAATTCGGAACCCAAGGAAGGACACCATTTGAGTGGCAAATTCGCATTTTGACATATTCAAATACAGTTTGTGCTGCCTCAATGTTCCCAGAATTTTCTCCAAATGCTTCATGTGCTCGCTGAAACTATTGCTGAACACCAGAATGTCGTCGAAGTAAGCAACACATCATCAGTTCAAAAAAGGCTTTAGAACCTCATTCATCAATCTCATGAATGTAGCCGGTGCATTACACAACCCGAACGACATCACCTTCCATTCATAGAGACCGTCTCTTGTTTTGAATGCCGTCTTCCACTCATCTCCGGGTCTTATTCTGATCTGATGATAGCCGTTGTGAAGATCCAATTTGGAGAAGTAAGCCGAACCAGATAACCTTTCTAACATCTCTTCAAACCTCGGCATAGGAAATCTAAACTTCACCGTAATCTTGTTGATGGCTCGACTGTCCATACACATCCTCCAATTTCCATCCTTCTTTGGCACCAATAGCACCGGTACGGCACACGGGCTTAAGCTATGTTGGATCAACTGCTTATCCAGCAACTCATCCACGATTTATTGAAGCAACTTGTTTTCATTCGGGCTAAGTTTGTATTGCGGTAGATTTGGTAAGGATGCTCTCGACATGAGTTCTATTTGATGCTGAATAGAACGCATTGGCGGCAATTCGGCAGGTTGCTTGTCCGAGCACACATCAAAGAATTGCTCCAATAGTTTGTTTACTTCATCCGGACGGTAATTTTCGGAAACAGAATATGCCACTTCCTTCACTATTACAGCTAACATGCTTGAAGTTTCTCTCCAAGCACTAATCATTGCCGCCGCAGATACTGAATACAGTGCTGTTTTTCCCTTGGACGACTTGATTTCAGGATTCGAACTGCCAGATAATAAACGAAGTCGCCGCCCCTTCCAATCAAATGCATATGTGTTAGCCCGACAGTCGTAAATTACCCCTACGTCATATTGTCATGGCCGCCCCAAAATAAGGTGACACACGTCCATATCGAGTACGTCACATAAAACCTCACTCGAGTAGTGCTTTCCAATAGAGAATGAGACTCTACATAAGTCTGTCACCGCCATCTCCATCCCCTTTTTAACCCAACTGATCTTGTATGTGTTAGGATTCTTAGTTGTTTTCAATTGTAAGGCTTGAACCATAGCACGTGAGACCACGTTCTCGGTGCAACTGCTGTCAACCAACAAGTCTCAAATCTTCCCACTAACCGTGCACTTAATTTTGAACAGGGCATGTCTTTGCGATACGTTGGATTGTTTTGGAGCAAGCAATAATTTCTCCATTACACAAACAA